CTCTAAGTCATAGATCCTCTTTTGACCATCACACCTGTGTTGCTAGACTCTCATCACGACTGAATGTCACATTTCACTGACATTTGTAAAACAAATAACCTGCCAGGTGCAGGTTGCCCTTTCTTCAGTTTTATTTTCTATTTAAACGGGAACCGGTATGGAATTTCATGGTAGCTATGGAGGTCAGTGGTTTAAGGATAAATCAAATCCCACTCAAAGAAGAAAGTAAGAAACAAAAGAAAGGAGGGTTTGAAGGGTGGAAATGAATCAGAGCTGCAACACTTTGCAGTGTAGCATTTGCTCCCCAGAGCCCCGTGCTGTCAAGAGCCTCTCTCGCGGTGCTGTTTCTCAGGCCTCCTGACCCCTTCAGTCCTATTCCCACAGGATAAGACCCGAGGTTTTGTTGGGTTGTGGAGGTAGGAGCGTCCAAGGGGATGTAGGGTCTGAGGTGAAGGGGATGTGGAACGTGGAGGTGAGCAGTGGTGGGTTACCTTGTGAAAACACCTTTGAACAGTGTTTATCTCCGTACCCAAATTAAGTCATGGATGAGGCCTCCGTTGACACATCAAAGAAGGTGGTGAGGTAGGTTAGTTGCATTCATTACTCCCTTTCGCCTATCCTACCGCCCCACTAGATCTCTAGAAGAACAACCCCCCACCCAATCTCACCCTAAAAGCATGGGGCTCAGCAGTATGAATGGGGCATTGTGATGCGTCTCCGTCACGGCAGTGAATGTTTTCACTTCCATTTGATCCGTCGGCGAGGCTGCTAATTGGGTAAGCGTGTTCCCAGGTCACCAGGAGGTTTCTCTTTCCATAAATACAGAAAGCCGGCAAAGGCTTCTACAGATGTTGTTTCCCACCCGCTTCCAAGTAGGTTCAGACCAGCTTCAGGCAGTAGATGTAATTTATTGTGTCTAAAACCACAGTCCAAAATGTTCCCCCCTCTCTTTCTCTCTCTCCTCATCACTCTAAAGAAGCACTTTATCATTCTCCCAGGCACTCTAGTAAAGCTTACATGATATTTGTGCTTTCCTTTAGCTTGGACTGTTTGTGCTTTTTTTGCCATTAGGGCCACAGGTGTCATGATGACATGGACATGGTGTTACTTTTGTCTGTACTCCATCCAGGCCTGACAGCTCCGAATGATGTTATTTTCCATGTGTCTCTCCACCAATGACAGAGTTTATGAGGCTCAGGGTTTATTTGTTTGTTTTTGTCATGGAATTTATATTTCCTGTCCTACACAAGGACTCAAGACAACCTTGTGTGCCAGCACTGAAGACTGAGTTGGAACAGAGAGCCCAGCCGAGACAGACTCACTGGGATGTTTGCTACACTAAATCTGCAGGGTGTGGTCGAAATGATCAAGTGGTCAGAGAAACTGTCCTTCAACTGGAGAGCAGAGGCTTAAGACCTCATGTTGGCGTGCACCAAACATGCAGACCAGAAATGTCCTTACCCATTCTTAGGGTGTTCTTCTGCAGCTGACACTGGCATTGGTCCTCCCTGGATGCCACAAATAGAGAAACAAGGTTTTCACTTAATCAATAAAGTATAAAAGCGTACGATTAAAAAGATGTCCACAAGTTGTCATGTGGCATGGTTTCATAATCGCAATCTAGAACAGCCATGATGATGATATAATGACATTATACTAATTGAGTGAATATAAAATAATGCCTATTATTGTGTTATATTTGGCAATTGAAATCGCGTTTTCTGCCAGTTAGAAAAAAATAATTATAGAAAATAATTTTAAAACATTTGATTAAATTCAAGACAGACCTGAATTTGTTCAATACAGCACCTTTATGGTTCTATTCATGCCAAACAGACATGTCAAATAATAAAAAGTATAAGCAACACTGGAATGTTTCCAAGCTAAAGACAAGAAGAGCGTCTTTCTTTTAAACCTGGTTCACCAACTATATCTTTCCTTCCTACAACTCTGTTGTGGTCTAATGGCGCCACTGTGTGGCAGCAATGGAACATTTTAAGGTATATTGTCTACTAATAGTTCTAAGATTTACTTCATTTATCTTTCGGTTGATTTAACAGAAAAATGTGTTCAAATGTCTTAATAAGTGTCTCTCTGCAGGTGAAGGCAGTCATGCAGAAGGATCTCTTGAATACAAATAGACAGAAGCTGTTATAGCCTCCATGAATAGGACTGTGAAGTGACTATTATTTTCCAATTACAGTATGACTAATAGCTTATTGCCCATTAAATGACCATAAAATGAGTAATAAACTAAAAATGTAGTTTCCACCGGGACAAAAATAACAGACCTTTTAACTGCTTTGTAAAATAGAGGTAGCAATAATATCATGAACATTTAAAGTACACAGTTATTTTATATCTCTGTCACTCTCAATGTTTTCCCTTCCAACAATGTTGCGCTTACGTTAGGAGTTATTGCACATCTTGTGGAGTGGTGCACAGGAAAAAAATACATTACACCTGAATAGAGTCAATGATTGAAACATTGAATTTGCGTATAAACTAAAGTGTTGGCAGTTTTGGAATTGATTACTTTCTTTCAGAATTGTGAGTGAGTTTTCATTTAAAATACAGAGTGAGCTGTCTTAAAAGCCAAAGTAACATCTGTAATCTCATGTATGTGTACCATCTGAATACATGTATGAAATCCACATCTAGTAAAAGTTTGCATTTCGCACCAGCTTTGTATCAAAGATACTGTATGATTTTACCAATGGAAACCAGAGGGTGGCAGGCTTCATACATGGGCTCCACTCATGAGTGTTTGTAACAGAAAAAAGGTCCACACTGCTGAGGAAACACACCTACGTATTAAATATACAAAATGACGCTGGCAATATAATTATGTGGAAACAGACTCAAGTGATTCAATCTGATTAACTCATTAGACAGGGTGTGGGCATTAAGGAAGGTGGGCTGACTCATCTTAGGTAAACTATTACTCATCATGTTGTGGGCCTGTCTCTTTAAATCCACCTTTAGCAAAAACCTATGGCAAAAACACAACTATTCAACTTTTCAAGTATCCAATTCCAATCCCTTTCAGGTTTGGATTTGGATACTGGAGTTGTTTTTCTTTGCCGTGTCAACAGAAGATTTGATTTTAACGGTTTTGAAAAACTTACTTTGTTTGTTAGTTATCCCAAAATGTCCACAGTAATCAGCCAAAGGCAGATAAGTCACTCCCAATTACAAGTAGACTAAATATTCTGTGAAAAGTTGGTGGACTTCTACATTCATTTATAACTTTATGCATAGCTAATATAACTCCAGTCACTATCAATCCATCAATCAGTGGTTAGTCAGTCACATCTATAGCCAGTGAAACACACAGATAAAACTACATTTGTAGTTTACCTTATATTATATTATTTCAGGGTTTCCCACACGTAGACTATATTAACGGCCGCCCAAGTATATTTTGCGACGTTTTTTTTTTTTTTTTGTATGTATTGTGAACGCAACGCTGTGCAAATGTGGGTCTGCCTCACACAAGGTGACTGGCTGTCTACATGATGTGGCCTGCCGACATGGCCACTGTCATAATTGATTGATTGGTCTCTGTGTGCCATTCAAGCTCGGGATAACGACCGCTCAGGTGAGGTAAAGGACTCTCTGAGTGTTTAGATTAGTTAACTTAGTCTAAGTTCTCTGTGGGTCTCAAACGATTTAGTCACCATTTATGTAAACACATATTTCCATTTGAGAGGGTAGTGATTAGTCAAATATGCATGAATAAACAAATAAAAAAAGGTAAGATACACTTTTAAAACTTGTTGAGGGCTAATAAGTCTTTGCTGCTGCCTCAAAGAGGAGCAGGGGGAGAGGGGAGAGAGGAGGGAGAGGAGGGAGACAGGTGAGGCTGATTCAGGAGCCCAGACACACTCACAACTATAAATGAACCAAAAATAAATAAATAAACAAGTTTCAGTGTTTTTTCATATTGGATATGGTATGTTATTGGTTATGGCCAGGATTGTATGATTATTGAAATGTATACAGTTCTGTTTCATATGGGTGTTCTGTTCCCATAGATCTAGTCTCTTTATTTCCCCCTCAAAATGCACCAGATTGATGCATTTAACTCCAAAAATTAAAATTAAAATCTTACCGGGGGAGCTTGTCCCCGGACCCCCCTAGAGGATTTGAGGTCCACCCCCACTTAAAATCACATGGACAAGTTCCTAAATACATTTACAATTTTATTTAAATAGTAACCCATGTGCCTGTTTATTTGTGGGTAGTAGATTTAGGCTATATATGGGCAGCAACGCTGTAAATATTGACAAATAAATCCAGCAAAATGGCACAAAAAACTGGTAGTTGCCTGGCTGGGTCTATAATTTCCGGCCTGACTTATTGTCTCGGTCCGGCCCTGGCTGTACCTGTTCATTCTGCCATCGCGTGAAGGGTCTGCTCACAAGCGACCAACAGAAAGGTTAATGTTGTTGTTGCACGTCATCTCACCTTATCGCCCCCCCCCCAAATATATCTGTGGGAAACACTATAGGCTATTAGGTATTAGAACGAAGTAGTATGACATTGTTGTTTGACCAAACAACGTATACTGTAGGTGGTGTTGTACACATAGGCCTACAGTAGCCTACTTTAAAAAATAAAACCGCTCATTTTATTTTAGTGAGGTTAAAGACATAAGTGCAGAAAAAAAAATTACTTGTGCTAACTTTTGCTAACTTCCATCTGTTTGTGCATTTGTTTTACATGTTTTATTATTTAAAATATGATGGCCTACACTGAAAGAAACTCCAAACGTAATATCTAGTTCTCGTTATGCTAAATAGGCCAAGTCATTATCACCATTTTACATTAGCTTGTTGCTTACTGCTAAGTTGTCATTCGTTAAAAGGCAGACAATATTAGCATTAGCTATGTGGAACATGTTTAGCTAGTTTCTGGGTAGTTTCATTTGTTAAACCCACCTTGCTGACTTCACTTCCTCTACCTGTCTGAACGGGGCGTGTTTTACTCCTGGAGGAGCCTCATTTGGTTCATTCCACTTCACAAGGAATTTCTAGGAATAGCTCACCAGCAGAAAACTTTGAATCAAGGTAAGATTTGTTTTCAGAGTCTTGACTTTGTTAATTTTTTAATGGCCAATATCATGCTGGGATTGATAAGGCAGACTTCACATGGACAAATAATCAAACCATTTGATTGTGTATGGTAGCTTACAGTGGAGACTTGTTATCTATCCGTGGTCTTACATAGAAGAAAGTTAATGTTTAATTTTGTTATGACTTAATTGTACTATTATTGCTATACTAGGGCTGGGCTGACACCGTTGTTTACTCTATTCTGTACATTTTAAAACTGAACACTAGTGCTGTTTTTATATATTTAGTTCAACAGTAAGGCCTGATACTTGGAACACTGTCATACTTGGTTCACTGTCATCATGTTTCTTTTATTAATTTCAAACTCTATGACTGATTTTTACATTAACAAGAGATACCCCGTACTTTTGTCATTTAAAAGTAGTAGCCTATGTGTGCAGTTGTATTGTAAAGAAGGGGTTGTTCATTTTCCATTGCTGCATTCCTGTAGTTGCTACATTATTAAATGGGGACACTGAATTAATGCACTTTTGGTTGGAGAGTAAACAAACACCTGTAAATCAGAGATTGTAGATTTTCACTCTTCACAATGGTTAGCTTTTTAAGGTAATGAGTACGGTAGCTCTTTACGTATATTTTATAGGGAAAAAAAGATATTATTTTATGCTGTTTGAATATTCCTATGGCCCGGATTTCATCACATCTCCTTCCCTAACTTTTTGGTATTTTTTGCAGATAGTGTATTATTGTTGGGGCCAATTCATCACGCTCTAACACATCTCAACAAGCCTTCCCACATACTTGCAAGTTTAAACATTTTGAACTGTACCCTACAGCTGCATAGAGAGGGAGCAGCACAAAGAGAGCAGAATGTGTTCATTAAACCTAGCCTTGCGGCAACACATTTTCGCACAGTATACATTACCACTGGGTTAGGACAAATGTAACAGGTATTTCTGTTGATAGCCCCAGTCGTGTATGAGTTGAGATATTTTTATTCACAACACTTTCATAGTTCAGATTTAAAGAAAGATTGGTGCAGTGTGTGGTGATTGTTGTTTTGCCATGGTCCCTGCAGGAGATTCGTGTCCCTGCTCGTCACACATTCCACAGCTTTACCCTCCCTGCTCCGCTCTTTTCCTCTTTCTTATAGTGTACCTGCCTGATGTCTTCCATCCATTCCCTCTTTATCAAATATATGAATCCTCCAGTATACTTCTACTTTTCTGGGCAGAGCCGTACAGCTGTGTTACATCTCTTCTGTTTACTGTGTGTTCTGCGCTGATATCCTGCTGGCAGCAGCCTGTACATCTGCCAGTCTGTGTGTTCCCTGATATCTTATTTATAAATGTATCGGCTGAGAGGCGAGTACTTCAGGGGCTGCAGTATAATTGCAGAGATACTGCGGGAAAAGCATTAAGAAGATTTGGAAAAGAAACGCTGAGAGATCTGTTTTTGTTAAGTGTTGGCCAAGTTAATTTGGATGTTCCTACAGGATGTTGAGAAACACTTAATCCGCTGATTCATGTTTTGTTTTTAGCAGATGTTTCCTAATCTTCCAAACAAAAGAAAGCAAGAAAAGAGTCAACATATGTTATCGGAATTCCCCTTCAATGGGATTAATCAGATATAGTGGGAGGTTTCTCCTTCCCATATTCCTTTTGTTGTGCTTCTTTGATGGCAATATTACACCTAGAGCTTCCAGTCTATAATCTATGCACTTCTTTCCTTTTAGAACAAGGCCATGATCAAAGACGCAGAGTATGGAGAAACATCATGGGAGCTGTCCGTGCAGGTGGATCAAAAAGCTGGAGATGAGTCCATGAAATTTAAGCTGAGGGTGAAGGGAGACTTGCACATTGGAGGCCTGATGCTTAAACTGGTGGAGAAGATCAGTAAGTGCCTCAGTATAACTGTCATAAAGTAATCTGTCGGATTACATTTTGGTTTGTTTACCTGGTAAAAGCATACTACACTTTGTTTTAGGCACAGTCCCTGCCCCTGCTGCCATATTAAGTCTGTTAGTCAAGCCACACCCTTGTTTGCCCTGCATTTTTCTACACTGCAGTGCCATTGTGTTGCCACAATGCATTGGCTTGCATAGCCCGAGGGGCCAAAGTTCAGCCAGGATCTGATCTGATATCTCTTTACATAAATCCAGACGAGCTAATGTAGTGAGGGCAACAGTAAGGTGGTGTGAGACAAAATAGATGACTAAATACGCTGTCATCAACAGACGGATTAAAGCACAACACCATAGCATGACGTCAGGTAGACTCATAAAACCAGACTTTATTCATGCTCAGCCACCCACACAACAGGTACAGGAAGTGCAATACCCTTTAAACATGTGATATGACAGTAACATGTATTTAACTTAATGTGTCTGTCTGCAGAGGCTCCTCAGGACTGGTCAGATCATGCACTGTGGTGGGAACAGAGGAAATGTTGGCTGCTCAAAACACACTGGACCTTGGACAAGTATGGAATTCAGGTAATTAAGACTTAAGTGATTGAATCTGTTTTTAGAATTGTGCTGATCATTGATATGTTTTAATGTCAATATTTTATTTCCAAGAACAATTCAAAATGTCAAGGAAATGTCTGTCTAAACATTTAGTTAAATCCCAATTGCACACTGCAGTACTCGAGTCTAAGTCATAATAAGTCAATTATGTGTATGTGTGTTAGGCCAACAGTGATTTCAATTCAAGCACATGTTGCGACAAGCATTGTTAAGGCTTGAATCTCTAAATAAATAGGGTGAATAGCTCACTTTCAAAGAGTAACAACCAAATTAATATTAGGGAGATATTAAGGAAAAAATGAGTGTAATGCACATTTATTCTCAAAAACAGACTTACTCTCTATATTTGGTGTCTATCTTGTATACTCTTTGTGTATATACATTTCAATAACATTAGAAGATCCTTAACACCAGCTAAGGTTGCAATCTAATCAGCTAAATAAAAAAGGAAAGGGAATAAATATGGATTTTGCAGGTGTGGTTGAAGAAAATTTTTTGTATTACACAGGCAGATGCTAACCTGCGCTATACACCCCAGCACAAACCCCTGTTGCTGCAGCTCCCCAATATGAAAACCATCAAATTGACCGTCAGCTTCTCCAGTGTCGTCTTTAAGGCAGTGTCAGAGATCTGTCGAATACTCAGTGAGTTGCTCTCTCCTTACTTGTCTCAGTCTCAGTGACTTTAGATGATTTATCTATAACTCTGACTCACCTTCCTTCCATATTCTCTGTTCCCCTGTTCCTGCTCCCTCTCAGACATCAGAAGATCAGAGGAACTGTCTCTGCTGAAGCCTCCAGAGAAGAAGAAGAAGAAAAGCAAGAACTCTGCAAAGGAGGACATCTGGGACATCGATTTAGCGGGCGGGGGACCAGGAGGCACAGGTACTGATTCTTAACAAGGCTTTAAACAAAGACGTTTCACAGTATATAAGCACAGAATCTGATTATAAAAGAAATGTGCAGCATGTCTGAAAAAAAAAATAGCATAACGATTTTGTACAAAAGGGAGTATGCATTGGCTAGAAACGAATTGAAATGTTTCCTAAAGATTCCGTTTGCTATTAAACTTGCCTTATTCTTGGATATGTTGTCATAGTTTGGGGCTGCATTCTAATTTTGGCCTCCACCATAATAACAACTTGTTTAGTGAAATAGAACATGGTTTTTCTCTGGACTGCCTGCTAATTTATCAATGAAGACAATAAATTACAGAGAAAAGTGCAGTTTAATGTATGTTTGTTGCAGAAGATTTAAAGGATTAAATCATTTGATTACATGTATTTAACACATTTGTATCTAAAGGTGAATTGATATTTTTCACTGCAGACAAAAATAGATGTATCAACAAAGCGTATAGTGCATCACAGTAATTGCTGGAAAGCAGCCTAGATTTACTAAAATTAGTTGAGATCAAGATTCATAATGTATGTTATGCCCAGCACTTAAATGGATAGCAGCTTTATTTCAATGAGTTACTTCTACTGTAGGAGGAGAAGAAATTAGAAACTTTTATATATAGTGCTGCGGGGATCTGTCAGGCTGCAGTTTCATCAGCGAGATCTGAGAGAATTATTTAGTGTGTTCGAAGGGGTTTCCCCAACGCTGAGTATCCGGTTCATATTTCACATCATCCTAAAGATCCCTCTAATAAGGACCTTTAATCTCTGCCAACTTTAATGTCGACCCAGTTGGTACTTTTCGAGAATCGTGATGCCTTATTTTGTCTTTACAAGTATCTGTCCAACTTGTATCCTAACTGTTGCTACTTCTTGTAAATATTGTGCTTTTGCACCTTTGTTACGCCCTCTAGAATCTGACGATAAGTTGACCTCAACTTCAGAGAGTATGCCCACTCCTTTTGGCGAATCTGATTTTAATAGTATTTTAAAATGTAAAAGTATCTATATTTCTCTTTGAACTAGGCCCCATGTACAGCAAGACAATGACAGCCACCTACGACCCAGAGAACGGGATGCCGGTGTCTGCCACGAGCCTCTGGTTTGGAGATAACCCTCTGGCTGAATCGCAGCCTAACCTGCCCCCTGCTGAGCTGGCCAAGATGTACCATCCGCTGGAGCTGGTGGACAAAGCAGTCAACAGTGCAGGGTAGATACAAATACAGTTCATTATTTGCTTATTTATTTAAAACTAGCAGCGTAATGTAATGTAGACGATAGGCCTTCTAATTGGTTGTTGCTAATATGATTGACAGGTGGTTGGACTCGTCTCGTTCTCTTATGGAGCAAGACATTCAAGATGAGGAAAAGCTATTGCTTCGCTTCAAGTATAACGTCTTTTTTGACCTCAATCCTAAAGTAAGACACCGCCAAATGTATCCCTTGAAAAAGAAATTAACGCCATTTTGAAATGAATTTGAGTGTAGGTTTTTGTGTTTTAGTACGATGCTGTCAGAATAACACAGCTGTACGAACAAGCTCGCTGGTCCATTCTGCTGGAGGAGATAGACTGCACTGAGGAGGAAATGCTGATGTTTGCTTCATTACAGGTAAACAACATGCAGTTGGAGAAGTGAAATAACGTCCGGTTTGTATAACAGAATACAGTCAAATTCTTAGTACTTAAAATTATGGCTCATCCAACTCAAAGCTACCAAACATTCAAATGCATACATGTTTTAATCTGAGAGCTAAACTATTTTATAGCAATCCTGATTTAAAGTGGCTTGTGATTGTCAAACCAGAGTTCTCAGGGTAATGTGGTCTAAGAGGCATGCTAATGTTGCCTAAATTAGCTTTAAGTACAGTATAGGGGTGTCTTGGACCTCTGAATAGTATCCCTTTAGGTCTGTGTCTAAATCCACATAAGGACATGTCAGGGCTTGAGAAAAATCCCACTGGAGAGGGATGGTGGGAGGAGAGAAAGAGAACTATGAGTTAAAGGAAAAGTAGGATTATAGTTCCCCATCAGAGAAATAATTGCTGTAAATATATAGACTGTGGTAAAGTTTTAGCTGTGTCTAAGTATCCCGCCATCTCTGATCCGCTCAGCTGTTATTTTGCAACTGTTGGGCGAGGGATTCAGAAATCACAGTGATTCAATGAGATCATTTTTGCACTTACCTACACATGGGTGCAATGGCTGGCCCACTCTGAGTCACGACTGCCTTGCATAACCCCTCAAGTCATAATGATCTGTACTTGATAATATATTAGTCAGTTAGTAGTTTTCATCTTATGGAGTAAAAAGCTTTCTTTTTATTTCATTTTCAGTATCATATTTGCAAACTGACCATCTCAAGTGAACCAATGGACAACTTCAACGAACCAGAAATAGATGAAGTAGAAGCTGCTCTGTCCAACTTGGAGACGACACTTGAAGGCGGACTCCCTGACAGAATTCTGGTAAACATATATTTTATAAGTCACTGGAGTGAATATTAACTGTAATTTGAAAGTGTTTTAGGTCTGTTACAGTAGAACACCTGTTTTTGAGCAGGAGTGAGAGGTAGGCCTCCGATGATTGCATGTCTTAACACGGTGATGTCAGGAGAAGACTCAGGATAATTCACAGTTGTTTGTCCCGCCCCCAGGAAGACATTACAGATATTCCAGAGTTGGCAGATTCCCTCCGGCTGTTTAGGTAAACCCACCTTTGTTCCTATGTCAAATAACCGAATTAAATGTTAAATACCCCGCTGAAATTGATATTTTACTGTCTCATAAACTTCTAATGTCTTTTACTCAGAAGTATAAAGGTGACCTGTATTGCAGCCAAAAAACAGACAGTTTGTTTTTCTTTCTTTCTGTCCTAAATCAGGCCAAAAAGACTAACGCTGCGGCAGTACAAAGAGTACTGGTTTGTTTTCAAGGACACCACAATCTCCTACTACAAGAACAAGGAGACGTCCAATGGAGAACCCATAGAGCAGTTTCACCTGAGAGGTCAGTCCCTTATGTGTTTTACCGCAGTCCAAATATAAAGTTCAACATATTCTATGCTAATATTTGCAGATCTGTATCATGCTGCTCTTCTTCTGTTGTTAAATTAACTACTATCTCTTCTGTGATAGGTTGTGAGGTAGTCCCCGATGTCAACGTGACTGACAAGAAGTTCGGCATCAAGCTCCTGCTCCCAGTTGCTGACGGGATGAATGAGGTGTACATCCGATGTGACAATGTAAGACCCCCCTCTTCTTCCCAATGAGCATTTCTTCCTATTTTCCCTTTTTTTTTTTAAATCCCTGTCAAGTGTGTGAATATAAACCCGGCCTCGTATTGTAACTGTCCAGGAAACGCAGTATGCCAAGTGGAAAGCTGCATGTATCTTGGCCTCTAAGGGCAAGACAATGGCTTACAGCTCCTACAAGTCAGAAGTGAGAAACATCCAGTCATTTCTGCAAATGAAGAGCCTGGCACCCCCTCCTGGTCAGGCAGCTCCTGATATCGAATCCATGGAGATGAATGCTGAATGTTTTTTCTCCCCGCGCTACACCAAGAAGCACAAGACCAAACAGGTAACGTATTCTTGACTTTGCCAAACAAGCATTGCACATCTGTTATATCTAATATATTTCTCAATCTGCCTTTGAAAGCTAACTTCACGTATCCTGGAGGCCCATCAGAACATAGCACGGCTGTCCCTAATGGAGGCTAAGATGCGCTTCATCCAGGCCTGGCAGTCACTTCCAGAGTTTGGTATCAACTACTACATTGTCAGGTACAGTGCCTATATTTATGTTGACATGTTTATTTTTATTTTAATCGTTTATTTGGCAGGGACAATGCACAGTGATGAACACTTAAAACATAAAAAATGTGTCAAGCGTAACAGTGCCAGATTAAGTTTGAGCTAATTTCCATCCGCAGTCCCTCACATAAAACATTTAAGAAAATTACATTTTACAAACATAGCAAAAACAAAATACATGATATGCAAAAAGTGCAAAAGAGCAAGAGCATACACAAGTATTTATGACATGGTAATACAATATAACAGCAACGACATATAAAGTGCAAGAGGAGATAAAAGAGCTGCCTAAAGTGCAGGAGGAGATAAAAGAGCTACATAAAGTGCAAAAGGAGATACCCCTGTGTTAAAGTGCATTTAGCGTTGATTGCAAGTCTGTTTGTTTCTCAACCATTCTTTAAATTGACCTTTAAAACTATTGAGAGTGGGACAATCCCGTATCTCAGTTGGGAGGCTATTCCACAATGAGCTGCCTTTAATGGAGAGGACATTTTGTCCAAAAGTGGTCCCTTCTACGGTGGACCTCACAGTCTCCTCTGGTTTCTGACCTAGTGCAGCGTCCAGTGTGTTTTTGTGGATGAATTCCCCTGAGGGAGGAGGGGCCAGTCCATGTAAACATTTATAAAAAGAACACATACTTTTAAAAGACTTAAAATGGT